GCATGGGGTGAACCACAGAGCCTTCTGCTGGACCATCTGAATTTTACACTTTAGAGGATTCATCTCTGATGTAATCTATTTTCTATGCTAACTAATACAAGGGAATGTTCTCTCTCACTACCACCTTTGATGCTCCTCTCTGCAGAGAAAGGGGCTAATGTCATCATCCTAATTAAGCTCCAGAAAGATTCTTTACTGCTTTCTTTTATAAGCATAATATTTTCCATTCACTAAGTGTAAGGAGAAAAAAAATCCCAGTTCTCCACCCTTTTCAGGCTAAGCAATGAAACAAGAGAGCACGGAAAGCAACAGAGTGCTGCCTGTTCATATCCCATATGGTAGAGTCCACTTTAAGAGGTATGCACAAAACACGTGATACCAGATCTTCAGAGACTAAAATGACAAAAATATATTAAGTCATCTTTTCCTTAGGCACAAGGCAAGCTCATTTCTTTGATTCAAGTCAAGCGAGAAAAGTCTGCACAGATAAAATGAGAAATAGCCTGTACGCCATTCCTGTTGCATTTCTGAGACCCAGTAAAGAATCAGTGGCAATGCCAAGGTGGATAACCATTTGTGGTTCATCTGAGATGATAAAGCTTTGCAACAGAAGCTTTTTGCAGCTTGGTAAAGATTTCACTGGCCGAACTAGGCCTTTTATAATAATACAGGCAGAGCCTGAATATTTTTGAATAGGCATTTTTCCAACATGTTCAAGTCTGGCACCACATGAAGGGATTAAGGACTTTTACCTAGGATGTCACCTTCTAGATGAATCACCTAGGAACCTGTTCTTCACTTGCTGGATGCTCAAGGGGGAAGAAATTACCCACTCTTAAATCTCTCTCAACCATGGTCTAAAGTATAATAATTGCAAAATCTCCACATTTGCAAACCAAAATTCTTGCCTTCCAGGCCGTCCTAGTGCAGCTAAGACAAACAGGTTTTTCCTCTTCGATTCAACAATCAGAGGAAAGAATGTCAAAGCAGCTGCATGTTTATGTGTTTGTGTAAACTAAAGGCTAAGATTTCTAAAAATATGAGCCTGAGGAGAACTGGTTTATGTAAGTACCTCATTAGCTGATCTGATTTCAAGAGAACAGAGAGCAGAAGTTTGCAGGAGCTTGGTGCGTTTGAAAATTAGTCCACTTACTCTTATATATTCATAAAGATTTAGGAGCGTAGCAACACAGCTGCATTTAAAGCAAACAAGACCCCTGTCACAGCCACTGGATTTAGGGCACAACTAGCAGGCAAAACAGCATAGCTTTTTTGTTCGGATGCATGCCTACATGTTCGGATGCATGCCTACAATGAGCTGACACTTTAGAGGTACCTTTCCAGAATGGATCCTGCCATGACTCTGTGTTCAAGGCATCAACCGTCTCCTGCAACAGTGCCACTGCAGGGGCAGGCAGCTGTCTGTGCTCTCAGCCTTGCCAGCGGAAGCAGCTTTTCTTAAAACTATCTGCAAAGGCATGCCTTTATCCACGAAATGGGGTTGATGTCAAGAAAACTGTTGCAACTGAGAAAAGATTGCAGATAACTGTGGCCTCAGCAACCTGCTCGATCTCTCCTTTGAGGCACGTCATACAGGTTACGCCAAATCCTGTTTAGGACAACGAGGATCCCATTGTTGGCTTAGCAGGTTCTAGCTCAGGTCAAAAAAGCTTAGGTATCATCACAACACAAAACCAGAATACTGTCCAGCTTCTCCAAGTTTAAAAAAAAAAAAACCTCTTAAAAACATCAGTTTCACATCCTGGTCAAATGCAAACTGCCTCTGGACTAGCTTTGCTGGACAGCTAGCATTCCTATGACCGATCAGCACATAGATGTTTTCCATATAAATCTCTGAGTACAGCTGGGGGAGCATCTCCCCATCACACACAACCCACCTTCAATTCTTTGGGGAAGCTCCATCTTCTCAGAAGACAGAGCGGTACCTAAGAAGCAAAAAGCAGGCATGCATTGTTTAAATCAAATTGATGTTTTCTGTACGTGGCATCAGATCCTTCAAATCAACTTCTCTACTGTTATACAGCCTAATGAAAATGTTTTCACAGGCGTAATGATAATCTCTTGTGATAGCAAATA